TTATAGGACAGACCTCTGCACTCATGAGGACCTGGGGCAGGAGTGGGAAGCAGTCATTTTAGGCTCTGGTCCTCTCCTTTACTAGGTGATAAGGACCTTCCTTCCACCCTCTCCCCCACAAGTCTAGCCCATCCCATCCCAGCATCTGCAAGAGGCTTGAGATCCCACTTCTCCTCACAGCCCAACCTCACCACAAAGTGAGAGAATCCAGTATATTTTGAAAGCCATAGTTAGGCTATGTGCTAAGGAATTGACATGTCACTTTATCTCAGCAACCCTGCAAAACAGATGATATCTCCACCCAACTGACCATGCAGGGTATTTTGAACTTCTGTCATTTTGACACCAAAGTCATTTTTTTTTTTCCCCATTTAGAGCAATAACTGAGAGACAATGTCCCAAATTTCTTATAGGTTAGCCAATAAACAGTGGTCTGTCTTTAGCCAATTCATAGTTTTTAGTAATATTATCAACAAAAAATAAAACCAGCAGTGGGCTAGGGGGATAGCTTAGTGGTAGAGCACTTGTCTAGCAAGTTTAAAGCTCTGTGTTTGATCCCTAGAACTACAGAAAAAAAGAAAAGAAAAAAACAATAGCAATTAAAACTGCACATGGTAAAATTCACTAACTAGAAACTAACAGAAACTCTGAGGATGTGGCTTAAGTGGTAGAACTCCTGCCTGATAAGCACAGAGCCCTGAGTTCAAATCTCCATGCTGTTCCCCTCACCCCCTCCAGCAGCAGAATAATAATTCTCTCTCTCTCTCTCTCTCTCTCTCTCTCTCTCTCTCTGTATGTGTGTATGTGTGTTTGTGTATGTATGCGCACGCTGAAGGTCAAACCCAGGAGGACCTCATGCATACTAGTCAGGTGCTCTGCCACTTAGCCACATACCCACCCATGAGTCATTTTCTTAATAAAATTTAGAGCCAATAGCCAGGTGCAGTGGGCAACATCTATAATCCCAGCAACTCGGGAGTTTGAATTGGGAGGATCTTAAGTTCAAGGCAAGCCTAGACTATGTTTTAGAACAATAAAATTTGACCTGGGAAAAGTAAAGCTTGTAAAAATAATGGTTGGCTATGGGCAGATGGGTACTCACCACACAGTGTCAAAGCTGTCCGCTGGAAAATTTGATAGTAATCAGAAAATGTCAAATGAAATCGTTAGCATAAATTTTACAGGGAAAAGAACTAAATCCTGTGAAAATTTCATTACAACGGGGGATTCTAATTTAATCATGTTTTTTGGAGAGTTGATCCAAAAATTGAATTGACTCTTCTTCAGTTAAATTGGGTTTTCTTAAGTACCTTCTCAAAAAAAGTTACACTGTCGGAATTTCCATGAGCTGTTTGTTTCTGCAAATTTAAGAATCAGCCATTCCTCAGGATCTACACAACAAGGCCCAAAGTTCTGAAACAGGAAAATCAGGCTTAAAAGGGTTACGTGACTGGTAAGAGCAGAGTGAAGTTTTGAGCCCAGGTCTGTCTCACTCCAAAGCCAGCAAAAATGAAGGAGGAGAATGCTCAGAGAGGTTGGACTACCCACCTCTCTCCATGAATCTGAGGGTTGTCAGAGGAGAGGCCTGCCAAAAGGCTGAAAGAGCTGAGCCCCAAGCAGTGCCAGCCCAGGCTGCAGTTCTCCTTGGATCTCTACCAGACTCACTCTTCACTCCCTGCCCACCTCAAGTGTCTCTGAGAACAAACCACATCTCAGAGTATTAGGGAGAAGGGACATGACCTGCCTTCACCTTGTGTAGTCACCAGGACTCAAGCTCAGCCAGATCCAGACATCCTCTTGCCAAGAAAGGCTTGGCTTATTTTTATCACCTCTGACTGAGCTAACTGTTGAAGGACAGAGGCCCAATCTGCCACTCCAGGAGGGGAGGGCAACATCTAGTTTCATTAACATTTTGTCTTCTACCCCCCAGAGGAGAAGGGCACCAGGATGTGGCTTCTTAGCAGGAGGCAGTGACTTTTGGTTTGACATGAGTCATTGAGGGCCAGAATGAATGTCTGCCCGCCACAAAAGTATATTCAGAGTAGTTCACCAAGCATTTACAACACACCACCCAAGCACTATGTCTGACGTTGGTGGGATGAAGATGGATGATGAGACAGGACCACTGCTCACATTCACACCTGCCGGGTATCATGACTCTTCCCGTGAATAATACAGCATCCCCTCTTCTCAAAATAAAGACATCAGTCTGCTGGGTATGATAGTGCACACCTGCAATCTCAGCCACTCAGAAGGCTGAGGCAGGAGTATCACAAGTTTGAGGCCAGTCTGGGCAACTTAGTGAGACTCTGCCTCAAAATAAAAAAGGGCTGGGGGTGTAGCTCAGTGGTAGAGCACAGGATTAGCATGTGCCAGACCCTGGATTCAGTCCCCAGCACCAAAAAAAAAAAAAAATGACATCAATCTAAAAGATTTCATACTTGAAGTTGCAGTTAAGCCCAGAGGGCGCCAAGCACTCACTTAGTCCTCTTAATAATCCTCCAAGAAAGGTACTGTTTAATGTTCAAGAAGAGGAATTGGTTGCACAGTTAAGTAACTTTCCCAAAATCACACCTCGAGTAAGTAGTGGAGCTAGGGTTGGAACCTAGAAGTTTGGCTCCAGAATCCATGCTCTTAACCATCACACTGCTAGTTGAAAAGCAGAGCACCAAGCTCCGAACGAAGGTGGAGAAGGAATAAGCCAGGCTGGGATAAAGGCCTTAGCTCCTCAGGCTGCCTTTCTGCCTCTCCCTGTACCTACACATACACCCTGGCTTCAGACTCCCCCAAAAGTGATGTCAGCAAACTGATCATCCAGCCTCATCCATTCCAGCTTCTGCCTCCCCCTCTTCAGAGCCCTGCCTTAGAAACCCACTCCTGATTCCAGCCCTGAACCTGTTACATCTCTGTCCACAAGACCTCTCTTCATTTATACCACAGCCCCTGCAGTCTATAAGGGATCACTTGTTTGACAAGTTGGGAAACTGAGGTCTGGAGATAGTTTTTGAATCCACATACTTCTCCAAGCCACCATGGATTTAAAAAGAGAACTCCCTTGTGCCTTCCTTTACCATGGTGGTCTGGACATGTCTAGGTTTGCCTTGGTCCCTTTTAGTTGGTAGGATCATTCCTGGATGTGCCCACTTCATTAGCCATTACCAGTCTGATCAAATGTCACCACATGCTTTCAAGCTCATGCTGTAAAGACTGTACCATGATAGAAGCTCACAGTTCTTAAATGTGCCTGCTACAGGCTCAACGCTGGGCTGAGCATCTCACTTCTCAACTTTACACAGAAATCATTGACACAGGTGAGGAAACAAACCCAGGAAGACTCTGCCACTGGTGTGAATCCAAGCCTGAGGCTCTGGATTCAACCTCCAGGACTGAAAAGAAATAGTGAAGTGACAGCCCCTGGACCACATGGCTGGTGTGTGGCAAAGCAAGTTTTAGGGATGGGCTGCTGGGACTGATAGCTATTCCACAATACTGCTACCCCCAAGACCAGGCTGGGCCAAAAGACCTTGGTTTGCTAACTTGCTTTGAAGATGGTCCAGAAAAGAACAATTCACAACTGGTTCCCTGCCTGACTAGGAAGTAGAGCATACTGGATATGAGAGAATGCTTCTAGAGATGAGCCTGGACTGGTCCTGAGCAATAGAGGTCTCATAGTAGGAGTGAATGTGAGGGCTGTGATTAATCTGGCTAATGGATTCCAGCTGCAATTGCAAAATTTCAAGTCTGTTGCTGGAAAGCAGAAAAACATCATAGAGTGGCAAGGGTTGGCTGTCAGGTCATCAGACTTGATGGGTGTGGAAAGGAGTCAAGGAATGCGTTTCTTGACAAGAGACTTTCATATAGGTGCTACATGGACCAGACTTGAGAATGCCTGACTCTCACACGCTTTTACACCAAGTCTATGTGCCTCTGCTTTGCATTTGTTTGGTGGTAACAGAAGCAGTATGAAAATCACTAATTTAGAGATCTAGGTTTGAATCTTGACACAGATAATGGCTCCCTGTGTGTGACCCTGGGAAAGCTATTCTGTAAGGCCTCTGTTTCCATATCTGTAGAGTGGGAACAGTGAAACCTACCTATCAGAGGAGCTGTGAGGGTATCAGAAGATGACAGCAGTAAATGTGTATTGATGGGTTTGTCAACTCTGATTACCCATGGGGGCTGTTTGCCGACTTGCTTTGTCTTTCCTTCCAGCCCCTTCATGAATAAGTTTTTTCCAGCCAACTTCCCAAATCGACAGTATCAGCTGCTCTTCACACAGGGCTCTGGGGAAAACAAGGAAGGTCAGTGTTGCCCACTTCCCCCTTCCCCTGTGATGTGTCATGGCTGTCTTCTCCCCCTTTGTCTCTCCAATACTGGGTTCTCCAAATAGGTGATAGGATGAAAGAAATAGGCTCTGGACTCTCATGGTCTGGGTTCATATCCCACCTCTGCCACACCTAGTCATGGGACTCTGGTGAATGCCTTACCTCTCTGAGCATTGGGTGTTTTTGTTGGGAGTTTTTTTCACCCCAACTACAAAATGAAAATGATGGTGACAATCTAGCACCTTCTTAGGACTGAAAGTAAATGATGAGTGGAAATCATTCAGCACACTGCCTGGCTCATAAAAAATTTTTATTATTGCCCCATGTAAGATTTAAAAAGGAGATTCAATGGTTTTTTTTTTAATTGGTTATCATATGGGTTCTAATATAGTGGCAAGATCATCAGCGGCTTGACCAAATGCAAGGTATTTCTTCTGTAAATTATAAGTTTGTGAAATGCATCACACTCCTCCCGAGCCTAGGAAGGCTTTGTCCCTAGACAGCATCGATATTATGTGATTCTTTTCTGTACCTCTAGTGCATCTGTGCCAAATAAATTATTGGATTTTTTTTTTTTTAAAGCTAAGCCTTTTTTTTTTTTTTTTTAAACCTCGGGGTCCGCGATCCCAGGTCTCATATGGCCCAACTCCGCCATACTTACGGGTGGCCCTCGGGTCCAGGATGTCGACCATCACTCCACAGTCCAACCAGAAGAACAGGCATCCGGGTCCCTTTAACTATGGTGGGGGGAAGGGAGGGTGTGAGCAAGTCGGCCTCACGTCCAGTTAGAATCATCAGGGCGCACCCGTCTGGGGTTCTCCCCCCCCACACCCTCCCATGGAGTTGTACGCACCTCTTCCTGCCCGCGGCCCGCCCTTTCCGGTCCCCCATCCCATGGTGAATCGGAAATTGGAAGAAGAGCCGGAAGTTGGGAGAAGAGTCGAATGACCACGGATGTGTTCAGAGAAGCGGAAGTAGTCATATTTTGCGCAGCCGTAAAGTGCGGTTGGCTGGATCACTTTCCGGTTGACTGGATCACTTTCCGGTTGACGACAACGGCCCGACCGGACCATCGGTGCCGGCCTGCCTTGAACGCGGATCTCTGTGGGACCCTTGCCGATTCAAGTTTCCTGTCTATCCTTCCCTGTCGGCATCCCCTTCACCCAAGATCATGTTCAAGAAATTTGATGAAAAGGAAGATGTGTCCAACTGCATCCAGTTGAAAACTTCCGTTATTAAGGGCATTAAGAACCAACTGATAGAGCAGTTTCCAGGTATTGAGCCGTGGCTTAATCAAATCATGCCTAAGAAAGATCCTGTCAAAATAGTCCGATGCCATGAACATATGGAAATCCTTACGGTAAATGGAGAATTGCTGTTTTTCAGACAAAGAAAGGGACCTTTTTATCCAACACTGAGATTACTTCACAAATACCCTTTTATCCTGCCACACCAGCAGGTTGATAAAGGAGCCATCAAATTTGTGCTCAGTGGTGCAAATATCATGTGTCCGGGTTTAACTTCTTCTGGAGCAAAGCTTTACCCTGCTGCAGTAGATACCATTGTGGCAGTCATGGCAGAAGGAAAACAGCATGCCCTGTGTGTCGGAGTCATGAAGATGGCTGCAGAAGACATTGAGAAAGTCAACAAAGGAATCGGCATTGAGAATATCCACTATTTAAATGATGGGCTGTGGCACATGAAGACATATAAGTGAGCCTTAGAAGGAATGCATTGGCTAAATATGGATATTGTGTTGTGTATGTGTTTGTGTCTATGTGTGGCAGCATGAAGACAATGCTTCTGTGGTTATGCTGAATAAATTCAACAGATGCCTTTAAAAAAAAAAAACAGGGTGCCGTTACCACGGGAGAATAGAAATTGGGGGACAAGCAGCCTTTTACTGGGCTCTGGAATCTAACAGGAGTGGCTGTACTCTGTGACCCTGGGCAACCTCCATCACTTCTCTGGGTTTGCTTATTAGGAAGCTTGGAAGCATCGAGAATGGGTCTGACATCAGGATATCTACCAGAGGGTTCCCCACAAGATCAGCCTCAGGGGCTTCCTCCTGCTTTTTCTCTAGGCCTTCATCTCTTAAGCTTCTTCCTCCTCTGCTAGTGAATAAGAATTGCCAGCAACTCTCTTTGATTCCTTTGGTGGCAAAATAGAAATATTCTAGAATGAACTAGAACCTTGCTAAAGACCTGAGCTCAGTGGAAGCTGGCATGGATTGAGCATCCTCTGTGTGCCAGGCATTGTGCTGAGGGCATTATAAGGACCATCTCATTTACTCCCCAAGCAGCCTTATGAGGGAGGTGCTGTTGCCATTTTTACAAATGAGGAAACTAAAACTCAGAGAGGGAACTGTCTCCTCCAGGGTCACCCAGCTATAAGTGGCAGAACTTACGCTTCTAATACCAAGGACCACCTCCCACTGACCCTGCTTTCTCTCTGGGCCTCTGTTCCCTCTGTTCTCTCTTCTAGAAAATTAGGGGGGGTTGGGGTAGCTCCAGTGAGCTCTACCCATCCTAATATCCCCACCAGACTAGGCCTGTGGACCTCTGACCATGCCCATAGCCATGCCCTCCTCCATCCAGGGGCTAAGAGGTGGGAGGGGCAGCCCCACCCTGAGGAGTGGACTTACCTGGCCTCTCTGCCCAGAGATCGTCAACTATGAGTTTGACACTAAGGACCTGGTGTGCCTGGGCCTAAGCAGCATCGTTGGTGTCTGGTACCTGCTGAGAAAGGTAAGTAGCCAGGGCCTGAGGACAAGAGGTGGCTGGGATGACAGGGCAGGGTGGGACACAGCAAGCTGGCGTCACTCCCACCTTTTCCCAGCACTGGATTGCCAATAACCTGTTTGGCCTGGCCTTCTCTCTCAACGGGGTGGAGCTCCTACACCTAAACAACGTCAGCACCGGCTGCATCCTGCTGGGTGGACTCTTCATCTATGATGTCTTCTGGGTGAGTCAATCAGGAATGCCAGGTGTGTGTAGCTCTGGGCACCCCCACTCCTTCCTGCCTCTGGCCCAAGTTGCAGTTCAAAAGTATTACTTAGTCCTGTGTCTTTACAGCAAGTGAGTTGAGACTTAGAGATATTCAGACAGGGGTAGTAGAATGCTGATGGGTGGCCCAGCAGTGACTAAGCAGGACAGCTGGCTGTGCTCTGGCTGAACACTCATTCCGTGAGGCATCACTGAGAGGTAGAGGTGGGCTCTACCTTGGCACCCTTCCCCTGGCCCCAGGCAGCCATTCTCTTCTTGAGTGGGTGTTGCCTAAGGCCTTTGTCTCTCAGAAAAGGCAGAACCCTGAACAAACAGGCTGCCTTACCTGAGCCAGCAGAGGTCCTTTTCAGACTCCTTCGAAATTCCTCTCTGTTGCCCAGAACCAGCATTAGTGGCTACCTCTCCTCAATTTCAGATCTGCTCTGAGCCCTTGCAGCTCCCTGAGGTCCACTCCTGCAAGAGCAGTGCATCCAGAAGCTAGCAACAACCATTCTTTCTCATCCAACCCCTACCTCCCTTCAGACTGTTTTCTTCTCTTTCCAGGTATTTGGCACCAATGTGATGGTGACAGTGGCCAAATCCTTTGAGGCACCAATAAAATGTAAGTGACACCTTCCCACAATGGAAAAAACCCTGCCCACCTAGCTGGTTCATAGTCCCTGTTTGGGTCAGTATCTCTCCCTTATCCCTTCCCCACATACCTCTTCTGCCAAGCTCATGTGTCTTTCCAGCCTCGTTCTCTACTCTTCATTAAATAATTTGGCTGTCTTCTTGAGCTGCCACCCTCCGTTCCAGCCCTGGCCTTGGCCACTTGGTCAGAATGCATTGTGGTGTGAATTGAGCAGGAATGGGAACAAGCAAGCACAGAGGAAGCATCTAGCAGCCTGTTGTAAGGCCTGCCCAGACTTTCCAAAAGGGGGGACCTCCATGCTGAGAACTGACTGGAACCTGTTAGCACCTGAGTGTCAGCTGCTATCAGTTCCACACCTCATACTGCCTTGATTTTGTTCTTCAGTGTAGACATTGTTCATAAGAAAATCCAACTCAGCCAGACACAGTGGCTCATGCCTGTAATCATAGTTATTGGGAGGCAGAGATCAGGAGAATCATAGTTCGAAGCCATCCCAGGCAAATAGTTTGTGAGTCCCTATCTCAGAAAAAATACCCAACACAAAACGGGGTTAGCGGAGTGGCTCAAGTGGTAAAGCACCTATCTAGCAAGCATGAGGCCCTGAGTTTAAACCCCAATACCACCAAAAAAGAAAAAATTCCAACTCTGGGGGTTAGGGGTGTGGTTTGGGGGTAAGCACTTATCCAGCTTGCCTGAGGCCATGGGTTTTATCACTTACCACCACAAGAAAAATAAAATCCAACTGTCAACATCTTTAAACAAGAGGGAAATTTGTTATCTCACACTACAGGAAGCTTAGGGATAGGACAGCTGAGGGATAAGTTAGTGACTCTCAGCAGGGCCACCAAGAGCCAAGTTTACTTCTTTCTGTTCCCCCCCCCCGCACCTGACTGTCTTTAGCATGTCCACCTATCCCATAGCTCATCCCTCCAAGGTCTCTAGATGGGACCACGTTTGCGGTTGCTAGCATTAACTTATCACATAGCCATGTCCAGAGGCACAAAGGGGAAGCTGTGCCTCTTTTTTTATCAGGAAGGGATATTTTCCCTCAGTTCTGCCTGCATCCTCTCTCATTTCATTTACCAAAATTGGGTCACAGGCCCAAAGTCCATACTATGCATTAGCAAGACAAATGGGAAAAACATAGTTAGCTTAGAGTTCTGGCCCTAGACTGATCCCGAATCAGCACCTGTGGTCATCAGACTCAGGGACAGCACAGGTGTGCATGGTAGCAGGGAAGAAGAGAGGAGCCTTGGGACAGTGACAACACTGACTTGTGGCAGTGGGAAGTTGAGGTGAAGTCAGCTCAGGCATCCTTCTCATGGTCCCATTCTCCACTATGGGCATTCTCCACTGGGGTGGGATTCATGGCCTCAGACTGTTACTACATTCTGTAATTCTCCTTCAGTGAAACTAGAGGAAAACACCTTTCTCCCAGCTTTGACCTGAGTAAACTTCCAGGGCTGGCCTGATTCATCTCCGTGGGGAGATAGAGGATGGTAATGATAGACCTGGTGGCAGAGTACATGGCAGCCCCCAAAACCAAGTCTATAAGGAGAGGGAGAATGGTTCTCCAGAGCAAAGAAACAGATGCTTAGCAAGCTTGATGATATTCAGGTCCCAGGAACCTGGGGGCTTGGGAGCCTGGAGAATTTAGCCAAGGTGTCATGAAGGAGGAACACACTTTACCAAGCACACAGGAGCAGTGGGTGTTTGAGAGGATGCATACAGTTTCAGAAAAGGACTGGAGCAGGAAAATGCACAGGAGGACCTGTAAGAAAAGAACAGGGGAGGGTGTGTGTGCCTGAGCTCGGGAGCAGCAGAAAAGAGACTAGGAATGGTGCACAGAGGCCAGATTTGGGGAAGCTAAGGATGCCATGCCTGGGATCTTGGACACTGCCTAGGATGCAGTAAGGGAAATGACAACGCTGTCATGTTGGTTTCTTGGTGCTTAGAATCTGGCTTTCTGACCTATTGCCTTCTGCTAGAACGGGAGCTCGGATACAGAATAGTTAAGAATATACATGCTAGCTGGATATGGTGATTCATGCCTCTAGTCCCAGCCATTTGAGAGACTGAGGCAGGAGAATCATTTGAGCCCAGAAGTTCGAGATCAGCCTAGGTAACATAGCAAGATCCCCTTCTCAAAAAAAGTAAATAAAAGGAAGAAAAAGAGCATATATGGTGAGGTCAGGCTGCTTGGTTTGGATCTCACATCTGCCATTTGCCAACATAGCCTCGGACTCCTTCCACATCTGAAAAAAGGAAATAATTGTGTCCACCACTCAGAATTGAATGGTACCAAGATTGAGAGGATCAAATGAGGAAGTCTGTAAATCACTTTGCATTTGAGGTAGCTAGAAGCAGGCAGGAAGCAGGCAGGCAAGGGCATCTCTGTATCTCAGGAAAGCACAAGCTTTGCCAGAGCCCTGTCACACCTCTGTGTATGCACCATTGGCCAAAGTTGAATCGTGTACCTTCCGCCTCTGCATGGAAGTTGGAAATTTGGAGAACAGGATTGTCCTGATTGGCATGGCCATAGCCACACTTAAACCATCACCTGGGAAGACTGCCCATACAAAGTCAGGATAGGAGTAGTAAAAGGAGGGGCAGGACAGCAGTTAACAATGTGTACAAGTCATCTAATCCTCACTACAACCCTGTGGGGTCACTTCTGTTACGATACGCATTTTATCAATGAGAAAACTAAAGCAGTCGAGTAAACTATACAGAGTCAGATGGCAGAGCCAGGCTTCAGGCCACTTGTGACTGCACCCTTTCCACAAGACCTTGTAATGAAATCCAAGGACAGCTACCTCTTGCTATCACTGGACAAAGAGGGAGTCACTGGAGAGAAATGCCTCCCTCTAAACAAACTGCAGCAAGAATTTGAGTGAGGGGCTTTAAGCAAGGAGTAGTAGGTATGTGGTCTTTTCTTCTTCAGCACATATAGAAGTAGCCCACTTCTATATATATATTTGCTTCACAGCAAAGGCACTTTTTCTACCTCAGCCATAGTCACTGTGGCTTTGCTCCATTGAGCCAAAGACTTACGTAGCTATAAACAGGGTATTGAAATTGTATGGTGTATGTTATCTTTGGCTAGATAACCCTAAATTCCTCCCGTCTCTAAACAGCTGTGATTCCAGATAGAAACATTGTCTGTCAGCCTGTGAACTTCCCCATCACCCCCAAAACAAAAATGTGTGGGTGTCATACATTTCCGGGGTGAGAGGCTGGAAGCCTGAGTAATCTGGGCTCCAGCCAACTCCTCCCACCCCTACCTCCTGTTGCAGTGGTGTTTCCCCAGGACTTGCTGGAGAAGGGCCTGGAAGCAGACAACTTTGCCATGTTGGGACTTGGAGACATCGTCATTCCAGGTGATGGCTGGGGACGAGGCTGTAGCTGGAGGGCTGGAGAGGTATTTTCTGGAACAAGGATGAGTATTATGGAACAGACAGCCTTACCTGTTGAGAAAGGGTTGGTGAAGGATTTTATCTTAACAAACATTGTAGCGTAGCAGTTATACGCCAGGCCCCGAGCTGGGCCCTGGATGGACAACAGTAAGCAAGACTGTCCTCACAGAACTTCTAGTCCAGATAAGCTGATTTACTCTAAAACTACAAAAGTACATAATGACAGAGGAGATCCAATCTGGGAAAAAGCCTATTCTGTGACAAGTGACAGCCTCAGAGGACACTCTTCACACATACATACATACACACACCCCCCCTTTCCTGGTGTTTCCAAGTGCTAGAAGGTGTCCTAAAACTGCCATCAACCCCTTGTTTCAGTCCCGTATTGAGAAGGCTTCAGGGAGAACACACAACACATTGTGTGTGCAAATGTGGGCTTTTTTGGGGGGAGGAGATAGATTCATTGTACATTTATGTACACTTTTGGCAGAAGGACATGTGTACATACTGCTTGTTGTCACAAGCTGGGCTTTGAGCCCCTCTGTCATTGTGCCCATGGATATGGCACAGAGACCCTGTCCACAGTCCCAATCATAGTGTACA